TTTTACTGATGATTATATTAGATATGGGTATATTTACTTAATCAAGCATAAGTGGTCAACTTTTGAAAAGTTCAAGGAGTTTAAGCAAGAAGTGGAGAATCAATTGGGCCAGAAGATAAAGATGATACGATCTGATCGTGGAGGAGAGTATCTTAGTATCGAGTTCCTTGACTATCTTAAGGAATGTGGAATTGTTTCACAATTGACACCACCTATGACACCACATCTTTATTGTGTGGCTGAGAGGTGCAATAGAACCTTTCTAGACATGATTCGTTACATGATGAGTCGAGCTGCATTACCTATCTCATTCTGGGGGTATGCCTTAGAGACTGCCGCCCATATCCTTAATCTAGTCCCTACCAAAAAAGGTTTCCAAAAGACCTCACGAGATGTAGATAGGGAAAGTTCCCACATTAGACCACATCAAAGTTTGGGGTTGTGAGGCTTTTGTAAGAAAAAAAACTGGCAGCAAGCCTGAACTTCGGAGTGAGCGATATATTTTCATCAGCTACCCACATAAATCCTTAGGATATCTCTTCTATAGACCGAGTGACAATGTTCTCTTCGTTGCGAGGAGAGGAGTCTTTCGCGAGAGAGAACTCATAGGCCAAGGAAACAGTGGGAGGCAAATTGACCTTGAAGAGCTTCAAGAGTGAAGCAGTGAAGGAACCTAAAACACTAGAAATCAACCTGAGGAGGAAACTCTGATTGATCCAATTGACGAGTCCTTACCCCTGAGGCGTTCCAGTAGAGTTAGAAATACGCCTGAGTTTTATTGTTTCCATATTACTACGAAAGGTGATACATTTATCAGTGATAACACACTGGTAAATTTGAATGAACCTAACAACTACAAGGAAGCCATGGGAGGCCCCGAGTATGCAAAATGGAAAGAGGCTATCGACAGCGATATTCAGTCAATGTATGACAATCAAGTTTGGAACTTGGTTGAGAATGTACTGGGTCGTAAGGCAGTCGGGTGTAAATGGATCTTCAAGAAGAAGACTGACATGGATGGGAAAGTACACACATATAAGGCGTGACTGGTTGCGAAGGCCTTTACTCGAACTCCAAGAGCTGACTATGATGAGACCTTCTCACCAGTAGCGAAGATTAAATCTATAAGGGTTATGTTGGCCATGGCTGCATTTCATGATTATGAAATATGGCAAATGGATTTCAAAACCGCTTTCCTTAATGGAAAGTTGGCTGAAGATGTTTACATGTGTCAGCCAGAGGGTTTTTTCAATGCAAAGTACCCAAATAGAGTGTGTAAGCTTGAGAAATCCTTTTATGGATTGAAGCAAGCATCTCGCAGATGGAATCTTTGTTTTGATGAGAAAGTCAAAGAGTTTGTATTTTCAAGAAGCGAGGATGAGTCCTGTGTATATTTCAAAGCTAGTGGGAGTATAGTGAGCTTTCTGGTATTGTATGTATATGACATACTGCTCATAGGAAATGACATCCCAACCTTGCAGGAGGTTAAGTCCTGGCTTGGGAAGTGTTTCGCTATGAAGGACCTTGGAGAAGTTGCTTATATTCTAGGGATAAGGATATTGAGAGACAGGAGTAAAAGACTAATAGGACTTAGTCAAAGTACCTACTTGGACAAGGTGTTGAAGCGTTTCAGCATGGAGAACTCCAAGAAAGGTAACCTACCTATCCTAAGCAATAACAAACTAAGTAAGACTCATAGTCTGACTACAGAGGTTGAGATAGCAGAAATGAGTCGAATACCATATGCTTCTGTAGTTGGCTCGATCATGTATGTTATGACTTGTACTCGCCCTGATGTGGCCTTTGCTTTGAGCATGGTCAGCAGATATCAAGGGAATCCTGGAAAAGATCATTGGACTGCAGTTAAGAACATTCTTAAGTACCTACGGAGGACTAAGGACTGGGTCCTGACCCTTGGTGGGAGTGATGACTTGAGAGTGACAGGGTATAGCGACACCAGCTTTCAAACCGACAGAGATAATTTCCGCTCTCAGTCGGGCTGGGTGTTTACCCTGAATGGGGGAGCAGTGACATGGAAAAGTTCCAAGTAGGAGATTGTAGCTGATTCAACGTTTGGATCAGAATACATAGCAGGAAGCGAAGCATCGAAGGAGGCAATATGGTTGAAAAACTTCATCGAAGACCTTGGAGTCATTCCATCCATAAAGGAGCCTATGGAGATTTTCTGCGATAATTAAGGGGTGGTTGCCTTAACCAAGGAACCGAGAGATCATGGTAGATCCAGGCATACCGACAAAAAGTACGACTTCATAAGACATCAAGTAGAAGAAGAACTCCTCGTGGTGAAGTGATATCATCAGAGGACAACCCAGCAGACCCCCTTACAAAGGGACTGACTAGGGTTAAGCACTTGCAGCATGCGAGCGGCATTGGGCTAACAGACGATATTAGTTTTAGTAATTAGATGAATCGAAACTTGTAATAGCTAAATTGTAATTGACATTTGATGATTAAATAAAAGGAGTTTTATTTATAAGTAAAGTTACTGTCTTGTGTCAATTATTTACAATTGTTTCACTTTGCATGTTTTGACTTCCAGAATAATAAAATTATTCAAACCATCCACAGTCGATTATACGTCGGAAGTAAGTATGAAAGAAGACTGTCACGAGTTGGCTTGTAGATTGTCTAAGGAGTTACACATAAAAAAAGTTTTCTACACCATTCATGAGTGCTCCTGAAATAAGATTTGAGTATTGGATTCAACCTGCGCTCACCTGAATCACTTCATGGAATTTATCACGAGTGATTGTGAGACGATAATATCATATAATATTCAAACCAAGATATATGATTTGTTGACTACGATTTGGTTGTTTATTGATGGCATGAAAACGCATATGTAACTTGATGTTATAAAACGTGTCGTTGTACATGATTTGATGAGTAGTTAGTAAAAGCATATAATGTCGAAGTTTATATGTTCCTTTACCCTAAAAGGATTAAGAGCGATATCTTGGGCCCCTTGATGATATTGTTTTGACATTGTGTCGGGCCCAGTCAGAACTAAATTGATGTGTTCAGTTATGTTCTATGTCAGACGAATCTTAAATCGGGAAAGAAATTGCAGGACAATAAGTATGACTATGTTCCATGTATTTGTTCGCATATATATCTTGAGAACAGAGGACTATATCATCCCTTATCTGAAGGACGCATCATTGACTAGGTCAGAGTTCGACAGCGGCTTTTGAAAGCTTACGATTGCTAATTCGGATCCTGAAGTCGCATTGGTAGTTATAGTTATTAGACTTATCCAAGTGGGACATTGTTGGATTTGGTGTCTAAGACCATAACTATAACTGGGATGTACTTGACCCGATTGTAGCATGGTCCTTTTTGGGTTGCCTTCACCAGTGCAATTTGATAGGATGGATTTTGAGAATAAGGTTATTTATGGTTTATTAATATACTACAAGTATAATATATTAATATGAAATCATATTATTTAATTAGTATTGATCAAGAATTAATTTGGAATTAATTTTGTGGTCAAAAGAGACTAATTAAATATATGGGGATTGATTATGTAAATAAATGATTCTTGTAGTGTGGGCCAGTGATCCATGATTATGTAGATGGGATAAACTAATCCATGGATAGTCCATGGAGGTTAAATCCATGGAGCATGAGAATGTGGAAATTCATGGGTCATTATGGTTTACAAAGTGTAACCCTAGCATGTGCAACACTATAAATAAGCCCCTCCTAGAGCCAAAATCGGTTACCACTTACTTTCCAAGAGGGTGAAGTTGATTTTGTTCTAGTAGCCTATTCTCTCAAGCCTCCTCTTGCATATTGGTGTTTGTGAACCAATAGAGGCATCACACTTGAGATGCTCAAGCTTTCAAAGGTTATGAACTACAAGTCCTTCTAAGAGGTAAGTCATCTAACTAGTTGTATCATTCAATTGTTCAAATGTATTCTAGTTAGGACAATGCTTTGGAAAATTGAAAATATGCATGTATAATTAGAGAAAACATAGATCCAAAGCATTTAGGGTTGCATGTGCAACATAGGAGTGTTATAGTGCTCAAAACCCAACAGATATTTGTCTGTGTGAAAGTTGTTGATATACCTATATGTGCGTATTGTCTTTGTGACTCTTGTTGATATGACTACATGCTTAGAGGTAGGGGGGTGAAATAGACCCATACCGGTTGAAAGATACTGAAGGAGTTAAAATACATAGACCTATACCGGTTGAAAGATACCGAAACAATTGAAGTAGACTCTGGGGTGTAATAGACCTGTATCGGTTGAAAGATGCCGAATGAGTTGAAATAGACTTGGGGCTAAAATAGACAGGATTTAGCTTCGAGCTATTATGTATGTTTAGTATGGGGTATTTTGGGGAACTCAATAAGCTTTGTGCTTACGGTTTATGTTAAAAATGTTTTCAGGTACTTCTGGTGTCAAAAGGAAGGGCCCAGCTTGATCGCACTACATCCCCTGAAGATTTATTATGCATTGATTTTTTGTGACTTCACTTTGATCTTTTGAGAATACTTTTACTCTCATAATCTTTTGGGATAAAGGATGAGTGGTTTTGAATTATTTAACATAAAAATTTTACTTGGTATTTTTGGGATGTTACAAAAAGTAAGAGCACGAAAGCCAAATGCCTTATCTTCATCATCCATTTTGCTGTGAATCATCCATCCAATGATCATGTGAAGGATCATTAGATTGAGATGAGAATAAGGCGGTAATTGGTTGATGAAGAATCCCATCAAAAGTTGAGTTGGTCAGTGTGTTGGATTTGTAGATGTTTGAAGGATCATGATATTAGTGTACACATCAGATGTGTTCACAGGGATATCCAGATTACACGTGTCCTCTTCATGATATTCAACATTGTTAATCCTTGGTGGTGAAATATTCAAAGAATTATTAAGAAATACATCATTGACAAAGTGATCCACATTATCTGCAATAGCATCCCTTGTATATTATAAAGATTGACCATGACCCAAATCCTATGTATTGGTATCTTCATTCTCATCTACTGTTCTAATAACATCATCAGTTTTGAAAACCATCATCTTGAGTCTTAGAGGCAATGGTTTGGTTACTAAATTTTTACTTGCAAAATGTTTTAACACCCATGCTGCTTTCCTAGTCCTTTGTGGATGCTCCTCACCTGTTTGTTCTTGAATAACTAGTCCCTTTGACTTTGCCTTGGATTTCATAGGAGTAAGAGCACGAGAAACATCAGACACCATTTCTTTATACCAAATCAACACAGGGTTCGACACAAGGACCAAACTCAACATTGCTTCCAAAATCCTTCCAATAGAAGTAAAATCGTTAGGATTATCAATCAACAACTTGGGAATTCGAAGAGTAGAAAACTCAGCAACTTCGACATCAGCTGGAACCAAGATCCCTACCAGTTGATACGCTTTATTCAAAATGAAACTCAAAAATCTTGCACTTTCAATCTTCGCCGCCTTCTTAGAATGATTAATGTATGTTGTGAACTCATCCCAAAGAAGTAAAGCATAACTGACCTTGAGATTATAATATAAAGTTGCTAAGATTTGATACAACTAAAGTTTCTCCTTATCTAGTCTAGAATTCCTTCATGTCAAAGAGCAGATTATCATCCCAAAGAAAAAACTCCATAGAGATGGAAATTTCGAATTCCTCAAACCATTGATTAGGGTAAGTTCAGGAGAATGCTCCATCTCATTCAACATTGCGAGTATTTGATCATAAGAAGGAACAACAAATGGACCGTTGACTTTCAATTTGAGAATCTGACAAAACTGCTTTTTAAACAAATTCTTCTTCACCTTTTGTTCCATCTTGAATGTAATAACCTTGCGACTCTTGTTGTACATAACCATGGAACATGCCAATGATAACTATTGCATCATAATAGCAATAGATGAAGAAAAAGCATGATGAAGAATAGACTCATTTAAACATTGAACGAGCATCTAAAGACCTTCAGGGTAAGCATTGAAATCTGGATTGAACCAGACGTTATTCGACTAACTTTTCATCTGCAGAATCGAGGTATCCTGAACCAGACGAGCATCGTTCCCCTTTTTATGGCATCAAATTTGAATTTGAATCATTTTCCAATAAAAAATGGCACATGGAAAGTAGGTAACTGAAGAGACATCGTCATTATCCACCACGTGCAAAAGTAATAAGTGTTTTCCCTCGAAAGAAGAGAAAGCAACAGTAGGTAGACACCATCTATACAATGCTTACATCTCTTTTCAATAAACGTCAAACATCAACATTGTTATCATCGAACAATAACTGGACGTTGATATTGAAAATAGAGTAGGTAAGGTTTCATCCACTTACAGGAATAGCGAATGGAATCATCAAACAAAATTTTTAGAATCTTGGTACAAGTTGGTATTACTTGAAACCTCGAGGATTCTAGTGCAATAGTGTGCCAAAGAAAAAGACAGAATCAAGTTTAACAAAAATTTTGGAATTTCATGATATCAAATAAAATTTGTTATAAAAGCAGTATGATCCAAAGAAAATATTATCTTCCTTCGACATCAAGAAATATATCAAAGTGCTTGTGTGGTTTCAGGCTTCCTTCGACATCAAGAAAGATATCAAATTGCTTGTGTGGTTTTCCGTGAATTACAATCAAATACTTTTATAGAAGTATCAAATGGCCTATTTTGATAGGTATCGAAGGCTGTCTTGTTTCCAAACATATATGTAACTTAACATAAGAGCAGTGATACGCATGCAAGTCTTTGATTGATTAGTATAATCAACTACAAGTAAGAATGAGTTATATTTAAAGTAACAGAAGGGTTGAAAATGTTCAAACAAAAATCTCATTTTATGAAAGAAAATATGGATCTCTTGGGAAGAAATGACTTGGTATGGGTCAATTTCATTAAGATCACAAAAAAGAATTAAATATGAGAGTTTGAACATTACACAAATGCATTATGAAACATAAAGAGCTTCTTCCATCAAATCTTTGGTAAAAATCTAGAATAATAAATTGTTCACCATCAATTCCTTATATGTATGGTTTTGTGGGTTTCACTGAAATCATATTGTTTTGTGGGTTTCACTGAAATCATGGTGACAATGTCTTCAAGATCATAAACACAGTGTTTTGGCTAGACCAGGATTCTAGTTGGTTTTAACTAGAGATCTAATGGGTTATGCATCTATGTGTGTGAAATGTGTAAGAAAATGAGATAAGAAGATGGAAAACGAGTTTCTCACAAATTCATGCTGACAAAAATTTGATCATAGAAACAATTAATGAATAATTATAATTCTAAGTTGTTATAGACTTATAATTTCAAGGGTTAAACAAAATTTATTGCCCATTTACTCGTCAGTTCGTTTGTTCCGGTCTAGAATATAAAGTATTCCAAAAATCAATGTTTTTGATATTTTTAATTTTTGAATCAAAGAAAAAAAAAGAAAATATTTGTGGTATTTTTTATTTTTAATGAAAAAGACAAAATGAAAGAAAATATTTTTGGAAATTTGGATTTTTAATGAAAAAGATAAAAATAAAGAAAATCTCAGTGTTGAACAAAAATTGTACCAAAACTTCGATAGTAGGCCTACCTCTTCTGAATGATTCAACGAGGATGTCGAATATGAAGATTCTCGAAGTCTGAACGCTGAACAGTAACCTCTGAGTGATCTGGTTCCAACGTCGAAGTTTAAAGAGTAGCTAAATCTTCATCAATGAATAGTGAGTTCGATATCAAAGACATGAAAATTAGCTTGATTTTGGAACGTAACATGCTTCCATCATTCCCAATCCATTTAAGATCCATTGAAAAGATTTTTCATCAAGATGCTTTGCAAAAATATATGCATGTTGATTTACTATTTGGATAAAATGGACCTCGATATCACCATCTCCGACATGATCTTAGATAAAATGATATCGAAGAGCAATATGTTTAGTCATGGAACGTTGAACATGAGTATGAAAAATACGAATTGCAATTTGAGAATCACAAGACAAGGGTACTTGTTCATGTTAATCACTTAGTCACAAAGTTGAATTTATATCCATATTTGTGACAACCCGAAATTTCTATTCTGTACAACCATTCACTTCAATGGAAGTCAAAACTGTTTCTGCTAACTGTTAAGCATTTTGGAGTCATTCTGAGTGTTTTAAAGTTAGTACTTCAAGAGATAACATGAGAGAGGATACCCTAGGGTTTATTGTGCACCAATAAAGTCTCAAGACACCAAGAGTTTGGAGTTTACGGCCTAAACAACGTGTTTACGGCCGTAAACCCCATGGGGTATAAATATGGCACTTAGCCATTTTATTCACTTTTTCACATTTTCATGAACTAGAACTCATTTCTCTCTCAAGTATCATCCGGATTTTCCTAAAGATCTTCAAGAAAGTAAGTGTTTCTTGCCTTGTTTAGTCGATATCTTCCTTAATCTAGTGATATTACATGATTTCTTCCGTGAAATCATTCCATTTGTGTAGATCTTCAAGTGTTCTTAGTTTCACCAAGAACACCAAGAACACACACTAGTGTTCTTGGACTTCTAACACCCTTTCAAGCTTCTACATAGTAAGTACTCTTACCTTGGCTTGTTATAAGGCTTACTACACTTTTTAATCATCTAGAAAACATAAGGAAACACAAGATCAAAGGTGTTTACGGTCCAAGATGTTCTTGGACTGTAAACCCTAATAAAGGGGCCAAAGTGTGCCCTAGTCCCCTACCAAGCCTTGGATACTAGTCTAGAACATATCCTTAAAGTGCTTAGGACCTTAAACATCAAAAAGACCATAAACCATTAGGGTTTACGGCCGTAAACCCAAAGGACAAATGGTCCATGGACCGCAAACTCCACAAAGGGGTGAAATGGTGCCCTAATCACTTCCAAAGGCTTAAACTTTAAGTAGGAATGCTTCTTTAGGACTTATAAGCTTCAAAACACAAAATGGTAAAAGTACCATGAGTTTACGACCGTAAACTCATGGGTTTACGACCGTAAACTCCAATGGAGTTGGTCCCAAAACCGTAAACTCATAAAGAGTTTACCCTTGGACCCCAAACTCAATAGCCAAGTCCTACAACCCTTAGATGTAATCCTTAGTACTTATAGCACTTAAATAAAGTGTTTTACATATCTTAGGATGTCTTAACTTCGTTAATTAGTTGTTTAATGACTAATTAGATACATATATGTGTTATTATATGTTAACTAGGATCCTTGTGTGTGTTCAAGTCTTCACTTGACACTTAGCATCCTATAACAATCCGTTCATCCAAACCACTCACTACAGGTGAGTTCATACCCCTTAATTAACCTTTTAAATGATTTTAAATGCTTTTATGGGGGGGGGGGAATACAAGTTGAACTATTATAGTTATTATATCAATCACATGTGATTAATAACTACCAAACAAGTGGATTTCTTACTTTTCAAACTGTATTGTCAAACTGTTTTACAAACTCTTTTACATATCAAATACTTTTATTAAACTCTTTGAAACTTATATTCTGTTAAATGTGTATCTATATAGATATAGTTATATAAGTAGGATTGAAAGGACTTAGGACTGATAGCTCACCTTACTTCCTGTTCCTTGTTTGGTTGTGGACTTAGGGTATTCAGGTTATTTGTCCGAAGGTCGTTTGAATCCTAGTTATATATTATGTATATGTATATAGATATAAGTTCCTTCTTTCATTCAGTTCAATACCTTTGGGTAGTAGAGGTATGCACACATGTTCATACATTCAAACAACATTACTAGTAAGCTATAATACGTATAGTTTAGGGAGATACTAATACTATTACTAGAACAATGAAACATACAAAGAGTCAGTACATACATGAAACAATACCATACAGAGAGAACATACAATACTATACAGAGAGAACATGCTAGCACATACATATACAAGAACATTACTACAGTTATGTGAGCCACGTAACGGGGCATGGCATTACCTGTCATGGCCGTTTTGTATCCAGAATCTCCTTAAGTGGGGAGCGTATGAGTTTGTGTATAGATCTATACTGGATTGACTATCCTACACCTTGCTGCTCGCTACAGTGGGACTTGCAAGTCTACGGGTTCCAAACGTCATTTCTTCCGATGTCTTACATCGTCGTGTTTATAGTCAGTAGCAGGATACAGGCCGATCACATGGTACTTTAAATAACAATTGGTTTAAGGTAGTTAGTACAGCAGTAGTTACTTAATACAACACTACAGTACTATTTCATTTTCCCATTTGCATTCAATTTCTGATATTCACACAATAAACAGTAGTGTAAAAACTATATTTTTGGTAAACGATAGTCAGATTTGGGAAAATACATACTCTTACAAGAGATACACACACAGATACTAGATGCCTTGGTAGAAGGCTACTTTTAGTAGGAAACATAACGTTTTTTCTAAGGGAGTTCAAACAATTACAAACTTCTACAAACTTATAGATTACAGACTTACAAACACTTTCATACAAATACAAACACTAAAATACTTATGAACTCACCAGCTTTAAAGCTGATAAACTCTTTCAAAATAACTTGTATTCTCAGGAGACCAGTAGACAGGTACCGGTGCCAGGTTTTGAGAAGATGGAGCTCATTCAAGACTCATCTTTTATTTTGATTTATATTTTTGGTGTCTATATAATTTGACGAAACACACTTGTATTAAATTATATTATTAATGTAATGGATGATGTTGTTGCTTGTTTACTACTTTGCATTGTTGTGATACTGTACATGATGTCCTCCACCCCCGAACGTTTCCGCCGTTCCGGTTTTGGGGTGTGACAGATTGGTATCAGAGCATTGTTTATAGTGAATCGAGTATATCAACCCATAAAAGAT